CTGGCAGTACTGTGGACGCAGGCGGCCGCCCTCATTAACCTCAAGTCCTCTGTAGAAGAGGAGCAACGCGCCGGGACGGTGATCGCCAACGTGGCCAAGGACGCGCGGGAGGCGGGCTTCGCGCTGGACCCCCGGCAGGCCTCTGCCTTCCGCGTGGTGTCCAACTCAGCTCCGCACCTGGTGGACATCAACCCCAGCTCCGGCCTGCTGGTCACCAAACAGAAAATCGACCGGGACCTGCTGTGCCGCCAGAGCCCCAAGTGCATCATCTCGCTCGAGGTCATGTCCAGCTCAATGGAGATCTGCGTGATTAAGGTGGAGATCAAGGACCTGAACGACAATGCGCCCAGTTTCCCCACAGCACAGATCGAACTGGAGATTTCGGAGGCAGCCAGCCCTGGCACGCGCATCCCGCTGGACAGCGCCTATGACCCAGACTCAGGCAGCTTTGGCGTACAGACTTACGAGCTCACACCCAACGAGCTGTTCGGTCTGGAAATCAAGACGCGCGGCGATGGCTCACGTTTTGCGGAACTCGTAGTGGAGAAGAGCCTGGACCGCGAGACGCAGTCGCACTACAGCTTTCGAATTACTGCGCTCGACGGTGGTGACCCGCCTCACATGGGCACCGTTGGACTCAGCATCAAGGTGACCGACTCCAATGACAACAACCCGGTGTTTGGTGAGTCCACCTATGCGGTGAGTGTGCCAGAGAACTCGCCTCCCAACACACCCGTCATCCGCCTCAATGCAAGCGATCCAGATGAGGGCACCAACGGCCAGGTGGTCTACTCTTTCTATGGCTATGTGAACGACCGCACGCGCGAGCTCTTCCAGATCGACCCGCACAGCGGGCTGGTCACCGTCACTGGTGCCCTAGACTATGAAGAGGGCCACGTGTACGAATTGGACGTGCAGGCCAAGGACCTGGGGCCCAACTCTATTCCAGCACACTGCAAAGTCACTGTCAGCGTGCTAGACACCAATGACAACCCACCGGTCATCAACCTGCTGTCGGTCAACAGCGAGCTTGTGGAGGTGAGCGAGAGCGCCCCCCCAGGTTATGTGATAGCCTTGGTGCGGGTGTCTGATCGCGACTCCGGCCTCAATGGACGCGTGCAGTGTCGTTTACTGGGCAACGTGCCCTTTAGACTGCAGGAGTATGAGAGTTTCTCTACCATCCTGGTGGATGGACGACTGGACCGCGAGCAGCATGACCAATATAACCTCACAATTCAGGCGCGCGACGGCGGCGTGCCCATGTTGCAGAGTGCCAAGTCCTTTACCGTACGCATCACTGATGAGAATGACAACCACCCGCACTTCTCTAAACCCTACTACCAGGTCATTGTGCAGGAGAATAACACGCCCGGTGCCTATCTGCTCTCTGTGTCGGCCCGTGATCCCGACCTGGGTCTTAATGGCAGTGTCTCCTACCAGATCGTGCCGTCGCAGGTGCGGGACATGCCTGTCTTCACCTATGTCTCCATCAATCCCAACTCGGGCGACATCTATGCGCTGCGATCCTTCAATCACGAGCAGACCAAGGCTTTTGAATTCAAGGTGCTGGCTAAGGATGGCGGCTTGCCCTCTCTGCAAAGCAATGCCACAGTGCGGGTCATTATCCTAGACGTCAATGACAATACACCGGTCATCACGGCGCCACCCCTGATAAATGGCACCGCGGAGGTCTACATTCCCCGAAACGCAGGCATAGGCTACCTGGTGACCATTGTCAAAGCAGATGACTACGACGAGGGCGAAAATGGCCGGGTCACCTATGACATGACCGAGGGCGACCGCGGCTTCTTTGAAATAGACCAGGTCAATGGTGAAATCAGAACCACCCGCACCTTCAGTGAGAGCTCTAAGGCTTCTTATGAGCTTATTGTGGTGGCCCATGACCATGGCAAGACGTCTCTCTCTGCCTCTGCACTTGTCTTAATCTACCTGTCCCCTGCTCTGGATGCCCAAGAGTCAATGGGCTCAGTGAACCTGTCCCTAATTTTCATTATCGCCCTGGGTTCCATTGCGGGCATCCTCTTTGTCACTATGATCTTCGTGGCGATCAAGTGCAAGCGAGACAACAAAGAAATCCGGACCTACAACTGCAGGTAGAGCCAACTTTCCTATTTTTGTCTTGAATGGGTAAGGTGTGTGTATCTGTGTCTCTGTGTGAAAATCGCAGTGCTTTTGTTTTCTACTTAAATGCATGCAGCATATGTATAGTGCTTCTTTTTGGAGGGTGAAAAGTTTGTGACAGTCCAAGTTGATCAATTCTTTTGATCTGACAATTTGCTGGAAGACAATCACTTACTGTTCAAATGGATTCTGTCACACAATGATGATGAGCAGAAAAGCAATTATCATTTTAAAATTTGCACAGCTGTCTCCATGAAGTTATGAAAAAAAAAAAATGAGTGAGTGCATGAGTGAGAGAGAGTTTGATTCATATTTTCAGCAAAACCACCAAGTACCACAACTTGATTTTCAGGGGCACAATATTTTGGGGACAGATACTGAAAGGAGAGTTCTGGCAGTTGTCCTGCTCTGTTGCAGAGATAAACTCTGGAGTGAGCTTAGACTGGGAATGAGGGTCTAAGATGGGAAACAGAATAGGGAGAAGAGAGAACAGGAGGATGTAGGGGAAGCAGGTGACTAGTGTTTTTAATCTATTCTTGGATTGTTTTCTATCCAGTCCCCAAACATCTGGCTATATAAAGTGAAATTCTGTCAGGCATCTGTGTGTTTTCAAATAACTGGTTGGTTGGTGGTGTGGAGACCAAACATTCAAATGAGGGACAAGACTTTGCATCCAGATGTTTCAGTAAAAATAGCAGTCTTCTGGAGTTGATGGTGCTTTCTTTTACAGTGGAACTGGGCTGTGGCATTAAGATCTGGTTGCTACCAGTGGATGTCACTATGAGCTATTGTGTTAGTTTCTCTTGAAATGTGTGCAGGATGTGTGTGTGAGAGAGAGATGTGGAAACTCAAATAATGCATAGTTCTTTTTATTTATTAATTTTTTTGAAAAGAGCTCCTAATAAGCACATTAGAGGGTCTTGCTGAAGCCCTTACTTACAGTTGGATAGAAGAAGTCTAAGCATTTCTAGAATCCAATTTAGGATCATACATGTAGTTTTTTCCAGCAGTGTCTCATCGAAACGGTTGAAAAAGTTGTTTCTTTAGTTGGCTGAAAATGAATGATGCTGCTATTTCCTACCAAGGTGTGTGTGCTGTTAACGCACCTATACACATTCAGTTTGTCTTTCGTGCCACTTGTGCTTGCATGTTGATCAGTCAAAATATATTCCTGTAGGTCTGGATTTGTATTTGACACTGTCTGAAATGCACACTTCTGTGAATCAGAGCCCACTGAATATATAACAGCCATGCAATTATTGTTTCCCTTTTACTATTCTCTGCGTTACACAAGTTAGTAGACAAATGCTAACCACACATGAATATCAATCAGGTGCCATAAAAGAGCAGCTGCAATGCCTCATAAATGCTTTAATCCTGTTACTAGTGAAATGGCCGTGACTTTTCTTTCCTTCAGCACCGAGTCATTTCAGATGGAGAAATGGAAATTAATATTGCTCTTACCTTTGAAACCTGTGATTGCCAGTGGCAATTTTTATAGGAGAAAAAATGCGGGGTCAAAAAAATTTATTTATATGGAGATAATGATGGGGGGACCCTTTTAAAGTGATTTTCTCAGCGTAAAGTAACTGCATAAGACCCTTTACTTGATGAAAAAAAATCACCTTGAAATAAAGATATTGAAGGCTTTGCCACCTCTTGGTGATGTATGACTAGAAGTGAGAGCTCTTTCTGAGAGCTTGCCAGGGAGATCATTAAACAGGGGGGAGAGCATTTGAGTTTTTTTTTTTTTTAAAGGCAAATCTCAGTACTCTCCAACTTTACCCAAATGTGTATTTTGTAAAGCGCTCTGTTTCCTGTGATGGTCTGGGATTAATGAAGTACAGTTTAATTAAATAATTGGTCAATACAGAAAAGGCTGCACAATGAATGCCTCAGCTGAATAATTGGACGGGGCATTGCCAAACTTATCCATCATGGGTAAACAAAATGATTAGAACTTTCCATTGATTCTGTAAACAGATTAGAAAAGAAAATCAACCCTAGTCCTGGGGTTTGGGGGATTTTTATTTGCTCCCAGGCCGCAGTATCATCAGTTTACCATCACAGCAAGTCAGCCTGGGCACAAAGAGAAAGGGTGAGGGGCACTTGATTGCTTAGCTCCAGGTAGATCCCAGGAACAGAGTAAGAATTTGTCTCTCTAGATGTACAATCTCTCCATCTGCTCCGACTTTTTAGGAACCTAAAGTTCAGGAGCGTGTCTTTTTCATGTGATTAGGCAGAGGTTTCATGTTCTCAGCCTCTGCAGAGCCTTTTCCTGAAGTATATTCATTTATGAGACTTGCGAGATGATCTGCAATTGCTGCTTGAATTGGGCTCCCTTTTTGTATTCAGACAATTAGCTTTGTCGAGCTAGAATACAGGCACAGTCTTTCCCTTGTAAAGATCAACCTGTATTATTTATTAACCTTATTGTTTTGCTGATTATTGCCTAGAAATTGAATTTCCAAACAATAAGCTAAATCATTATGTGCAAAGTAATAAATGACTTTGAGAATCTGGCTACATTTTAATGTATTTCTTTTGACAAGTCTCTTAAAGCTTAGTGTCTTTGGTGCACGTTGCTGGGTCTGTGTCAGTGTTAATTAAATTGAGCTCTTTATGTTCCAGTTGCAGCACAGCTGCTTGTAGGTACACCTGAATGGAGAAGGATGCTCAATGCACTAACCTTTAAATTCCTTTGCAGTAATTGTTTAACCATCACTTGTCTCCTCGGCTGTTTTATAAAAGGACAAAACAGCAAGTGTCTGCATTGCATCTCGGTTTCTCCCATTAGCGAGGAGCAAGACAAAAAGGCAGAGGAGAAAGTGAGCCTAAGGGGAAAGAGGTAAAAAGGCATTTCCCCTCATTCGAATGGGTTTGGCTATCAGATTTCTCTAGGAGAGGAGGGGTTGGGGTGGAGAGTAGAAGGGAGCTGGGCTAGGGAGGGGAGGAGGGTGTGGAGGAGAGAAACTGAGGAGATGCCAAACGAATGGGGTCTAATCTCCTACCCCATTCCGAAACTGTCACGTCAATCATAGAGAAAGCTGATTGAGGGTGTTTGCCACATGGCAAATGCTTGGAGGAACTGGTAAGGTGGTATTTTTAGATTTTTTCTATCTCCTCTTCTGTTAAATTGGATCTCGCTCCTAATTTCACTCAGGAGTTCCTCTGGGTTTCAGGGAAGCTCCAGATTTGAGCATTTCCATGTTTTCTCTCCCATAGGCTCAACTTTCCCTGTCCCTCCACCCCTGCTCACTGGGCACTCACAATGAAAAATTCCAAATCCAAAGTGTAGAAACTTTTTTTGGGAGGGGTGGGTGGGAGGTTGCTATGTTTAATAAGAAAACTTTATGGCCCTCAGCTTGTTTTCGCATGTAAAAAGAACAGGGAGAAACCCGATGATGTAATGCGCCAGAATAAGGAGCTGGAGCAGAGATGGGGTGCAACCCTCTGGGGTGCTTAAATGTTTATTAATCAGTGCATGATTTGGGAGGGTGTTAGGATTCACGCTGCCTTTTCTGTCACATAGAATCGCTGAGTACTCCTATGGGCATCAAAAGAAATCAAGCAAGAAGAAAAAAATCAGTAAGAATGACATTCGCCTGGTACCCCGGGATGTGGAGGAGACAGACAAGATGAACGTTGTCAGTTGCTCCTCCCTGACCTCATCCCTCAACTATTTCGACTACCACCAGCAGACACTGCCCCTGGGCTGAGGGGTGGGTGGGAGGTTGCTATGTTTAATAAGAAAACTTTATGGCCCTCAGCTTGTTTTCGCATGTAAAAAGAACAGGGAGAAACCCGATGATGTAATGCGCCAGAATAAGGAGCTGGAGCAGAGATGGGGTGCAACCCTCTGGGGTGCTTAAATGTTTATTAATCAGTGCATGATTTGGGAGGGTGTTAGGATTCACGCTGCCTTTTCTGTCACATAGAATCGCTGAGTACTCCTATGGGCATCAAAAGAAATCAAGCAAGAAGAAAAAAATCAGTAAGAATGACATTCGCCTGGTACCCCGGGATGTGGAGGAGACAGACAAGATGAACGTTGTCAGTTGCTCCTCCCTGACCTCATCCCTCAACTATTTCGACTACCACCAGCAGACACTGCCCCTGGGCTGCCGCCGCTCAGAGAGCACTTTCCTGAATGTGGAGAACCAGAATTCCCGCAATACCACTGCCAACCACATCTACCACCATTCTTTCAACAGCCAGGGCCCCCAGCAGCCAGACTTGATTATCAACGGGGTTCCTCTACCAGAGGTGAGTGCAGCTAAGTGGCCCTGTGAGGTCCTCCCAACTTTCTTTCCTGAGCTGCCCTCTGGGACACATTAGCCCCTTATACTTTGTGCTGGCCCATCCCCTGGCAGAGGTGGGAAGAACTTCTCTGCCTAAGTCCATTACCATATCACTTTGGAAGTGTGCTGCCAGTGCTCTTTGAGGGAAAGGGTAACCCAACATTTTGTATCTCTATATAGGGGTGAGTGAGTGGAGTGGAAGCCCAAGAGATCAGAGCCCTTGAAATCCCTGGATGATGACCTGGCATAATATATGTTTACTCCACCTGTTGCAAATACAGCATGCTTGACAGCCAGTGGTACCAGTATGCCCCGTTGAAGTGGTTTAGAAGGAGTCACCAAGTAGCACTGTGGAACATGAATGAAACCCTCTAATACTCAAGGACCAATTTCCCAGTGTGAGAGTGATTCAGCTTCCTAAAGCCCCCTTTTCCTTTTTCTTTCATCACACCACCATTTTCTAGCATCTTGCTGAGAATGTTGATGGGCTGGTTAAAGGCAGGCAAGCAAAAAGAAAAAAAAATTTAAAAGCCACTCTGCCATTTCTTTGCAGTTCTAGCGGTAACGTTTGACAGTTGAGGAGGTTGAAACTGTCACTAATAATGAAAATTTGACGTATTAGCTATGCACTTGAGTTAGCGCTGTTTCTTTTTACTGAGAATGAATGTTTTCAAATGGAAGCATTTTTTACAAACATGGCGTGGTCAGATATTTGCTGGCAGCTGAAATATTTCGAGGGAGTACGGTGACATGTGGATGATGGTGGATGTGTGTCTAGATGGAAGGCTATAAATAACAGTTTTTAAGTTGATTTTGTTTGTTCATGAATTGCTGAAGTCTCTCTTTGGTTGGAAAATTTGACACACTGGGAGGCACGTGCCCTCTTCTAGGCTAAGTAAAGGAAGACTGCTCGTTTTGGAGAGCACTTCCACATTTTTCAAAGCACCTTCACAACCATTGTCTCCTTTGATCCCCATAAGAAGGTGTCCTGATAGGTAGCCCTTCAGTAGATGATGAAACAGAGGTCTAAATATGCTAAGAGACTTAAAGGCTCACAGAGCAGGTCATCCAGAGAATGAAGTCTAGATAACAGGGCTCTGCACTCCCTGCGAGTGCTGTTTCAGTGATAACTTCCTGCCTCAGAAATAATTCAGCAACACATGCCCAGGTTATGATGCATACTTAAAATGGCCTCACAGTATTCTGTAGACCAAATTCCTAGGGCAAAGGGTCTTAAGGCCACTTACATGGGCTACTTCTCCAAGTTCTTGAAAAATAATACCCATCAGAATGAATAGGATATCAAACAGTAGGTTTTTTTTTTTTTCCTTGTCATAGGGCATTGTGCTTCCTGGAGAGGATAGAGACAGAGAGAGGGAAATCAGGACATCATCCCCTAGGGGGATGCATTCCCTTCTCCTCCTCCATTCCCCTCTAGAGATTTTGGACACACAGGCACATGTATGTGCCTGGTATGAGTTTTGAGCCACCAGGTCCAGGAGTCAAACTGTGGTTGGCCATGTGAGAAGCTAGCCACTTTAATCACCATAGCACCTGCTGGCCCCAAACAACAGGGCTTTTAATGAGTAACTGAAGGTATTCTGCCAAGAAGAATAGCACCAATATTTTCAATTTATAATTTTATAAGGATGTATTGAAAGTCCAGTATTATGGTATGTATAGTCAGTTATAATTAGTAATGTTGGTTAATGCTACTAGGACCTAGAACATAGACTACTTCTTATAGACCACTAATAGTTCAGAAGTAGAGAAGGAGAAGTAGTGTTGTGTAGTGGAAACATGTAGACCATGATTTTGAATCCCAGAGTCACCTCTTGCTATGATATGTCTTAGTTTCTGTTTCTTCATTTACAAAACGGGTACATCTGTCACACAAGGTTGTTCCAAGAGTAATGCGAATTGTGTAATATAAAGGATATGACACCTAGGTGCCCCCCAAATGGTAGACCTATTCACTGGACAATTGGAGAATTACTGTGGCACACCAGACTATATCCCCCTAGGCACCTATAACCAAAGTGGAACTTAAGTTGGCTCTATTTAGATAAGATCCACAAAGTGGTGTGACTACATTATTCATATTCATCATTTAAACAATAGTGGTGAAAAATGCCAAGGTTGTGGATTTGGTTGATGACTGTGCTATAGCTTGTGGAGACTGACAAGAGGATTGAATCCTTATGACTTGGTAGCCATTTATGCAATTAATTCAAGGTACTAGAGACATGTGGGCCCTGGTATCGATGAAATACATGGAGAGGGCAGGAGATATATGACTGCACGGTTTACCTAAGATCTGGTGTTTTGTCTGAGATGTTCCTATGGGCAGATCGAAACAGACTATTGCTTCCTGTATGTAGAAAAGCCATTCAGAGTCTCAGTACTGATCCTATCCCTGATTTACAAATTTAGATGCTGTCATTACTGACCAAAACACACAGATCCAGTGAATAGGGCTAGACTGTGTACTAGAAATGGTGAGGTTAGTGTGTTTTTCCAATATACAGTCCTAGAGAGTTCAACTGACAAACTTACTCAGAAAGAGGAGAGGCTCACTCACAATTGAGCATAGGATAGGCCATTTACCCCAAATCTTTCACGAAGTCCTACATGAGAAAAATGACATTTCTCCTTCCTTCTATATCAGAGTCCCCTGGACATGGACTGGGTAAAATAGTTAGATCCAGTGAAATCTTTAGAAAAGCATTGATGGACTAATTCAAATGATATTGTTGAGTGTTGGCTCTTTGTAAAGCACTGTTCTAGGCTCAGGAATTAGAGAGATGAAAAAGACAAGGAATGAATATTCCAATGGAGGCAAGAAGCAAGTAAATAGGTTTTTTTGTGATATGGAGTAATAAATGCATTATATTATAGGATGTAATGTAACATTCTCCATTTCTAAGACAATAATACTGCAATATATTTCCTACCTTTTATTTATATTTTCCTCATTAATTAATCCATCTAAGAAAGCAATATTTATTAAGCAATTATAGCAGAGAATTAAGCACTCTGATGTGATAAATATAAGATTCTGTGAAAATTTCTCGATTAAATCATGTCACATTGTTTTTTACATTATTTCATTAAACCATTCTTCTATTCGTTCATTAATTCAACCCACTAGCATTTATCACACATTTAGAATGTGCCAGACACTGTACTACTTCCCCGGGATACAAAATAAAACACTTGATCCCTGACCCCAGGGAGTTTACAGGGAGACAGACAAGTAAACAGGTAATTTCAAATCAGGATTACATCTCTTTTCTGGGCATATGTTACTTTCTTACTCTCCAGATTGGGACCAAAGGTCACTAAACATTAGGTTCCTCTGCTAGGCCTCCTTGCAACAAATATGTTTCCTTCCTTACCTATAAAGTCAGTTTCAGGACTCACCTTCCATAGCGTTATAGACTAGCAGAGTCAGAACTGCTGCACTCACTTGGTGCTGCTTCTACTTCTTCAACTTTGAAAATGATCACCATGGTATTCGGTCAAACCAGTAAGCCTTAGTTGGAGTATCCACTATGTGCTCAGCTGTGTGACAGGTACCACTGGGATTCCAAATAAGTATAAGATGTAACTTCTGCCCTCAGGGAGTTCACAGTCTAGTTGGGGAGCTAAGATCAGTACAACTCTTTCATTGGCAAACAATATAGGATAGTTGTTAATCACCTGTTAATTTTGGGATCCTTTCTCCTCTTTCTGTCATCATTTATATGTAGATATACTAAAGATTTGGTGCCGAATTGAGAGTAACTCGAATTAGTGTGCAAGCCCCATCTGACTGTGACTGCCTCTAGAAACTAAAAGGATCATGACTTTGAATACAGCTTTATGTTTGCCATGGGGCATGTGCACTCACCAGAGAGAGACAAAGAGAGGAACAGTGAGAAATTACCACCCACGGGGGAGGGGGGATGGTCATGCCCCAATCCCTTCTCCTCTCTTCTCTCTGGATTTTGGGCACTCGGGAACAGGGCACATGGATTGCAGTTAGGTAGGTAAAGTGAGGGGAGTGGAGCACTAGTCTGGAGAATTAGAACTCAGCTACCTATGTTGTAGAGATAATCCTGCAGAATTATATATCATTATTTACCTATCCTCTGATGTTGGTTGGCAAATCAGCTATGTAGATTTTATGGTTTTATATACAAATTTGTGGATGCAAAGTGGAAAATGCGTTTGCTGTTTACAGAAGACTTTTGTACAATTAGTGATGTCAGGTATCTTTTAAATATTTTAAATTGAAGGGTGAAATTTGCATTACATAGTATCCTGGTTCATTTAGTTCATGGACTTACTGTATGTGTGAGAAAATGAGTGTGTGCATTGTATGGTGGGGAGAAAAAAAGTGAAGAGAGAG